TCACAGAATTCCTAGTGTTTGAATTGCTCTTACAGGTCCTGAATCTAGTTTCCAGCTGTTCCAGCTCAGTTTCTGGTCAATGGTAACACCCAGGATGTTGATGGTAGATGTTTCAATGGTGGTGATGACATTGAACGTCAAGCAGTGATGGTTAAAGTCTCCTTATGATGCTCATTGCCTGGCACATGTACGGCATAAATGTTACTTGCCACTTATCAATCCAAGCCTGGATATTGTCCAGGTCTCACTACATATGACTACAAACTGCTTGAGGAGTCTGAATGAGGAGTGTGAGAAGTCACAAATGGTGCTGACCATTGTGCAATCATCAGTGAATATCCATACTTCTGAACTTACGGTGGAGGAAAGGTCATTGATGAAGCAGCTGAAGGTCATTGAACCATGAACATGACCCTGAGGAATTTCTGCAGTCATATTCTGGGGCTGAGATGAGTGACCTCCAACGGCCACAACTATCTTCCTTTCTTCTAGCCATGACTCCAAATATCAAAGGGTCTTCCCCCAATTTCCACTGACTTGACTTTTGCTAAGGGTCCTTGATGCCACTCTCAGTCAATTGATGCTTTAATGTCAAGGAGTCACTCTCATCTCATGTCTGGAGTTCAGCTGTTTTGTCCAGATTTAAACTAACACAACAATGGGATCCAAAGTTGAGTGGCCCTACATGAACCAAAATCGAGCAGTAGTGAGCAGGTTGCTGCTGAGCAAGTGCCACTTGAAGGCACTGATGATCCCTTCAATTGTAGAGTAGACCAGGTAATTGATCAGGTTGGATTTGTCTTGCTATTGTAGACAGAACATAGCTGGGCAATTTTCCACACTGTTGGGAAGATGCCAGTGTTGTAGCTATTTTGGATCAGCTTAGTTAGGACATGGCTAGCTCTGGCACACAATTCTTCAGTACTATTGGTGGAATTTTGTCAGGGTCCAAAGTCTTTGTCATATCCAGCACCTTCAGCTATTTCTTGATGTCACATGTAGTGAATCAAATTTGTTGAAAATTGGCATCTATGATGCTGAGGACATCAGGAGGAGTCCAAGATGGATCGCCCACTTAAGATGAATGCAAATGTATCAGCCTTATCTTTTGCACAGATGTACTGGGCTGCCCCATCATTGAGGATGTGGATATTTGTACAGCATCCTATTCCTGTTACTTGCTTACATTTCCAACTCCATTTACGACTGGATGTGGGAAGGAGATTGCAGAGCTTAGATCTGATTTATTTATAGTGCCATCATATAGCCCTATCTAATACATGTTGAATTCACTGTTTAGCATGCAAGTAATCTTATGTTGTACGTTCAGTCGGTTGATAACTCATTTTCTCATATGTCTGATGTTGCTTCTGGCATACCTTCCTGTACTCTTCATGGACCTCAAACTTAACCCTAACCCATTGATCAGCCAGCTTGAAGGTAATAGTAGAGCACAAATAATGCTGGGCCATGAGTTTGCAAACTGTCTGTGTTTTGTTTTATTCATTTGTGGCACGTGGATGTCACTGGCTGAGCCCAGTATTTAGCAGATTGTTAGCTCTATTCAAATTCTCTCCCATTTAGCACAGTGGTACAGCCACACAATACAACAGAGGGTATGTTCAATGTAAGGACAGGACTTTGTCTCTGCAAGGACTGAGCAGTAATCAATCCTACCAATAATGCTGTGGATAGATGCATTTGTGACAGGTAGACTGGTGAAGAGGTCAAGTAGGTATTTCATTCTTGATGGTTCCTCACCACTTCTCGAATCTTGTAGCTGTGTCCTGCAAGACTTAGCCAACTTGGTCATTAGTGGTGCTCCCAGTGACTCTTATCGTAATCATAGAGTCATTGAGTTATACAACACAGAAACAGACTCTTCGATCCAACTTGTCTGTGCTGACCAGATATCCTAAACTGATTTAATCCCATATGCCAGCATTTGGCCCCTATCCCTGTAAGTCCTTCCTATTCATTTACCCATCCAGATGCCTTTTAAATGTTGTAATTGCACCCGCCTCCACCACTTCCTCCGGCAGCTCGTTCCATACACACACTACCCTCTGTGTGAAACAGTTGTCCCTCAAGTTCCTTTTACACCTTTCCCCTCTCAGCTTAAACCTATGCTCTCTAGTTTTGGACTTCCCTAGCCTGGGGAAAAGACCATGGCTATTCACCCTATCTATGCCGCTCATCATTTTACAAACTTCTGTACAGTGACGGACATTTGAGTTTTCCATCCAAAGTGTATTCTGTGCTTTAGCAACCCTCAGTGTTTCTTCCATGGAGAAGTACTGAGGTTTGTACACCCATAAAATTTTTAACGGTACTAAAAGGCATCGCCCTATTTCATCATATTTGACTAACATCCAGCCATCTGACATAATAGCAAGGTTTGTCAGAAAGTTACAATTCACAGTAATTAAGGCTTGCAACACATAGAATACTTAAATGTGAAACCTTAAACCCGCCAAAACAATTATTTTGATTGAAGAGTTTCAGCAAGGGAGAGAAAGCCAAGCATTTGTCATTCTCTGGTTTAAGTGTCGCCAGTAAGATTGATAATTATGGCCCATTCCTAATGCTAGCCTTATTTTCGAACAACTCCAGCAAGAGAGTTAGGCATAGTGGTTTGGTACAACTAAGTCAACCACACTTGTGTGGGACTTATATGATTTTGCACTTTTTAATAATTTACATTTAAATTCTCACTACACTCAAACAAAATAAAATACTGCAGAAGGTAGAGATCGGAAATAAAAACAAGAAGTGCTGAACAAAATCTCAGCAGGTCTGATGGCATCTGTACAGAGAAAATCTAAAGTTTCGGAGAAGAGTCATATCAGACACAAAACATTTGTTCCTCTCTCCCCAGATGCTGCCACACCTGCTTGAGTCTCTCCAGCACTTTCTATTTTTATTATTACCTTTGAATTATTGTACCACCGTACACAATAATGCCTGTTTTTGTATTGTTTTTGGCTTACAATTGTTTTCTATATTCAGTCACAATCAAATGATATGTGCTACGCTCAGCAATATAATTCTTTAAAAATTTGCATTGTCTGCATTTTAGATTGAAATAGCTTTGTTCTATACTCAAGATTATGAAATCTAGTGATTTTGCAATAAAGTGATCCAAAACTGTTATCTAGCACTGCTGCTTTAAACTGGGCAGATGATCTGCAAAATCCAACTTCAACGAATGAATTATTCTGGCTGTACTCCTAGCTGAAAGTAGGCTGCAAGAATTAAAATTCACCAGCCTAATGAAACATCAGTTCGTCACTACGAGTGGCGGGGAAGGGATAAATCTGCTGACACCAAACGTGGTATTGCACTGACAAGAATAATGCAAGTCAAGCAGCAGAATCATCTATTTGGTCTATTAGTGGTGTGATACCACAGTGCCACATTCAACTAACAGTCTGCAGTCTGAAGAGAGATTAATTTCTCTGTCACTTCTCCAAGTCATAGCCCTGTTATGATTCATTGTTAGGTCAATGTTGGAGAATGATATTTGATGCCTCCATTTTAAAATGCTACCCAAAGCAGGAAAATGGCCACATACCTCTATCAGTTATTTAATAACCACACAAAAATATTTATTTATTTGTTACAATTTATAACATTAGATTTGAATGCTAATGTAGTCAGACCCTCTTTAAATTCTGATTTCCAACAGGGAGCAGAATGGCCTGGTACAGTAACTGCTCTGCCCAGGACCGTAAGAAACTAGTCGTGAACACAGCCCAGACTATCATGGAAGCCAACCTTCCATTCATGGACTCCATTTACACTTCTTGTTACTGCGGAAAGGCTGCAAACATCATCAAAGACCCCTCCCACCCAATAATGCTCTCTTCTAACCTCTTCCGTCAAGCAGAAAATACAGAAGCTTGAACACATGCACCAACAGGTTCAAGAACATCTTCTTTCCTGCCGTTATTAGACTGACGATTGGACTGTCTAACTCCAAATAATGTTGATCTTGTTGTATGCCTCGCTTTGTCTAAGCACCCTATAATCTGTATGTCTTTGCTACGATCTGCCTGTACTACTCACAAAACTAAGCTTTTCACTGTACTTAGGTACATGTGACAATAAATCAAATCAAATCAAATCAAGATTTTGGGATTGTAGATATGGCACCTGTTTTACTGGAATGGTAAAGCAAAATTAGAATGAGCAGTTCAATAAAACTACATTACTGCGTGCCCACAGGTTCTGCAGCACTTCACAAAATGTGAAGAAGATTCCACCACCATCAAATACTATGTAGGCTGCTCCAAGAATTAAGTAACACCCTCCTTCCACTACTGGTGAATGGATAACAAGAAATGTGAAGACCTAATAGGCCAAAAATTGCTGTTAAAATAATGGTGCCTACTAGTCCTCATCATAAGAAAATTCTATAATGTTGTGATGCACCCCAAATTGTGTAAAATTCATTCCACTCCAACATCAGCGTCGCAAAAGCAGAAGCTTGCCCTCCACTTCCCCTTAAGAATCATGAATTTGCTGATTCCTGGCAAAGATACAAATTAGTCTTGCCACAGCTATTCACATACGTTCATTTTTTATGATTCTGCCATGTCAATCATTTTTGGAGGGCAAGCAAGAAAACAACTGAAACCAAGGAAACCTCATTCCAGTAGAACCTAAGTTGTTTCTTTCGTAAATCTTTCATTTAATGTTTTACTGTCTCTTTCTTCATTTTTTTCCTATGTTTAATTTCAAGATCAGCAAGTTCAGGAGGTCCCAGACACACAATTGCCTTCACTGCAACATATTATCTTGCATTTCCAAAAATTGCAATGCAAAAATAGCAGAATTTGTTATTTGATTTATTGTTGTTGAAGAATAAGGAAGGAAAATCCAATTTATGGTACACCACTTTGAATTTTCCAGGCCTCACAAGTACACAACAGAGCATAATCGAAATCCAAAGCCAAATTAAGAATTATGAATAACAAGATAATTGTTGAAATCCTTACGGGCAAGTTGGCTCCTTCCTGCAGGGATCTTTGTTGCTGCATGCCATTTTGTAATCTGAATCCTTTGAAAAAAATCAAGAAGTCAGTTTTGTACAGATAAATATAAACACATAACATACATTGATTATCCACCTTGTTCGTATTGTGTCTGGCCAAGAACCGCATATGTTTCCCACACAGACAAAGGCTACCTGCTCCATTGGGTGGAATCTTGTGTAGATAACGGGGATTTCAGCCACTGGCTGTGAAATGTGTCTGTTTTTAGAAGGCCAACCATATCTTTTACATAACAGGCCTTCCCCCAGGATCAAAGACTTCAAGGGTGGGAAGTCCTGCCCATTGACGGCTGCCAGCTGGCAGCTGTTCTTTACTTAACAGCCTCACTGAGAAAGTGGTGGTTGCTACCAGTACTACACCCACCCAAGACCCAGGTAGAGGAGAGATCACATGCACAGGTAAATTACGAGAAGTAGGCAGGTTGTGTGGGAAGAGTTGCATGGAAATTTCGGGGAGGTGGTCAGATACAAGTGGAGAAGTTGGCTTTCAGACCGGACCACTTCCTGATATCGGGTCCCTCAGTTCAGCATTAAGTGCACTGAGCCAGTGACCTCCACTCCCAAACCTCCCCCACTCAATTCTGGGATCGCACAATCAACGACAACACCTTCCAGTTGTGAACCGTTTTAACTCCCCCTCTGCTGCTCCCGATGTGGCCTCCTCTACATCAGTGAGACTAAGCAGAGGCTTGGAAACTGTTATATAGAGCATCTGAGCTCTGTACACGACAAACAACAACATCTTCCAGTCGCAAACCATTTCAACTCCCCCTCCCACTCTCTGGGTGACATGTCCATCCTGGGCCTCCTCCAGTGTCACAATGATGCCACCCAGAAACTGGAGGAGCAGCACCTGATATTCCGCCTTGGGAGCCTACAGCCCGATGGCCTAAATGCGGATTTTACCAGTTTCAAAATCTCCCCACCCCCGGCCTCATCCCATCACCAACCCTCCCTTTCATCCCTGCCTCACTGATCTGACACAACCTGTCCATCTTCTCTCCCACCTATCCACCCCTCCCACCTCACTGACTAATCCCCACCACTCCCTATCTGCACTCACCTATCACCGTCCCACCACCTTCCCCAGCCCCACCCCTTCTCTCTATTTATTTCAGAGCTCCCTTCCCCCTTCCCATATCTGAAGAAGGGTCCCGACCTGAAACATCAACTTTCCCGCTCCTCTGATGCTGCCTGGCCTGCTGTATTCCTCCTTCTCCACACTGTGTTATCTCTGACTCCAGCATCTGCAGTTCTTACTATCTCTAAGGATTTGTTTGTCATGTTCTCCAAATGGAAAGCTTTCCCCTCACCACTCCACCTACTTCCACTTGGTTAATACCAGTCACAGCTCAATGAGGTCCTTACATAGGCTTTAAATGCCCACTTCGGGGCCTCAATTTTCTGTGGGGCAGGAAGGCCATCCATGAGTATTCCTGTCACCAATTTAAATCAGTATGGAAGGAAAAGAGTGACTGAATCCCCAACCACTACTCTCCCCACCAATAAAATATCCTCTTTTTGACCAATATACCCACCACAGTGGAAAGGACAAGATTTTGTCCATTATGATGATTCTTTACTCAAGCTATTCAAGACTAATCCCTCTGCTTCACATTCACATCCCTGTTTCAAATATTAGCCAAATTCTCCTCGCAAGATGTAATGAGATCTATCTCAATCACTCTGCGGTAAAGCATTCCACGTTCAAACAACCATCTCTGTGACAATATAGACCATGTTCTCATTCGCAGCAATACCATTAAATTTACAGCCCCTGCCTCACTAACTTTCTAATCAGAAATAATGGTCTTTCCCTATTGTTTCCACCAAAATCCTTTAGAAAATAATAAACCTCAATTTATTCTCCTTTTACCCTTTTCTTTCGCTCCAGAGAAAATAGTCTCACTACCTCATGATTCTCCTAACGACAAATTCCCATTATTGGCATTCAATTACCTGTTTATGTCTTCCTGAGTCTTTTGATGTCCTCCCCTTTGCTTGTTAGTCTTATTTTTGTGTTGGTAGCAAGTTTGAAGATAGTGTGCATATACCAAGTTCAAATGACTGATATGTACCTAGAAAAGGAGGTAGTATGTTTCAAAAAACTTTCAGTATCAATATTTATGGTATAAATTAATAAACAGCAGCAGTGTTATTTACCCCATTAATTCTAATGAGTGTTTTTCTAATGAGTGGCAAACAAAAGCTTCTGGGATACGATAAGTAGACAATCCATGGCACATTTTCACTAGCCTAAATGACCTGCCTTGAAGGCATTTAAGAAACAACGCTATTCAGAACGTACTTATTTCAGTTTAATGAAAACACACGTGCAAATAAGTCTCAAGCTTCCCTGCATCCAGTGAAATTGGTTGAGGAAAATTCACTAGATTGGCTTAACATTTTTCGATTAGAGAATGGCTGCCTGACTGAAGTTCTAATTAAATACCTGGAAGATTTTTTCAGGAAGGTCTAAGGATTATCAAAGGAGCCAAGGCCACCTTGCATGTTGACCAGGAAGCAATTGCATGATTCTGCAGGGCCCACCCAGTGCCTTTTGCCTTACGGGCAATAGTACAGGCAGAAATCAGAAGGCTGATCACAGATAACAGACATATAAGGACAGCTCCATACCATCCATCATCCAATGGTTTGGCAAAAAGATCACTTTGAGAGAAGGGTCTAGGCCCGAAACGTCAGCTTTCCTGCTCCTCTGATGCTGCTTGGCCTGCTGTGTTCATCCAGCTCTACACCTTGTTATCTCAGATTCTCCAGCATCTGCAGTTCCTACTATCTCTTAAAGAAACAGCCTACAGCTTCACTCGATATCAACTATCGCGGTTCCTATTTGATTATAGGACCACCACTCATGCAACTACAGGGATAGCTCTAGCAGAGTTGCTAATGGGGAGAAGACTCTGCATCAGGTTAAATTGGATCTTCCTGGACTTGGGGGGGAGGGTGAAATGGCATCAGGAATGCCAGTGCCAGACACAGGACTCTGCTAAGCGAGAGAGACAGTTTACTTCAGGGGAAAAAGTTTTATGTAGGAACCATGGGGTTCTCCCTCTTGACCAAGCATTGAAGATACCTTGGAATCTGAAGTGGACACAGTGCATGTGTCTCCCTCAATGCCTTTTCCACCTGAAGAGCAGAATGAATTTCTTCCAAGAATTCCAAGTTCCGGGCACAAGTGGTGAGCCTCTGTGCATTACATGCCACCCATTTCAGAGGCAGAGTTGGAGGAACCTGATCCAGTGGTAAAACACCCCAGGAGGAACGATGAAGAAACAACAAGCCTATGTCCTCGGATTCAGAGGGGGAGGGAAGTAGGGATTATAACAAAGTCAGCCAAGCAGACCTTATAGAATATGAGTTCCCTAATTGGGGTTATTAATCTGATGCAATCAGGGAGCTCTGGCTGACAGATATAAACAGCAGTGTCAGATGTCCTGTTCACTGTGAGAGCTGGGTCTGCGGGAGCTGGATCAGTGTCAATGACTCTCCACGTGTAAATAAAGGGTGTCTAGGTAACAGGATCCTGGCCTCTGTGTAGTTGTTTCAGACACTAATTCATGGGATGGCTGGATTGTCCTATGGGGGGATGGACTGAACCTTTATTCTTTAGAGTTTAGAATAATGTTGCTGACTGCTTTCACTTATTCCTATGCATTGTCTTTTGTGGGTTCTTCTGCACTTTGTCAGTGTTGCATCGGCTTTCCCTATCTGCAGTCCAATGCTTAGCTGGGCCTTGAAGTACATCAAAAAAACAAAAGAAGTGTGAATGCTGGAAATCAGAAACAAAAACAAATTGCTGAAAAGGCTTAGCAGGTCTGGTAGCAAATGTGGAGAAAAATCAGTCTTAATGTTTTGGATCCAGTGACTGTTCTTCAGAACTTGAAGTACATCACCTGCAGCTCTATGTTGCTGCGGGCTTCTTTCCAGGTTTTTCCCAGTACTGGGTTGGCCTCACCCTTCACCCACAGCACTTTAATGCCACAGAACTTCAGTTTATGTGCCCCAAACTGCTTGCCTCCACTCCCATGGGTCTGGTCACCACCTGCTTCCAAGTAGTAAGATCAGGTCTACACTCATGTGCACGAACATAAACAAACTTGATTGAACATTGCTATTCATACATGGGATGACAAAACAAGGAATATTCTAGAGCCCTATAGACTCTGGCTCCAGTTCTATGTGATCTGATGTCACTATGGTATAATTGCTTATGCACATGCTTAGAGTAAACATATTGTTGACCCTTTACTTCGCACATAGTAGCAACATTGTGTATCATTGAGTATACATTGCAACAACTCATCTTTCCTCCTTCAAAAGTATTTTCTAAACTAGAGACCTCTACCACCTAGATGAACAAGGGCAGCAAATATCCCTGCACCATCCTGACTTGAAACTATATTGCTTCTCCTTCATTGTCACTGAGTCAAAATTCAGGACTCCCTTTCACAGGCGTAGAACTTGGCCTATAATTCACCACCACCTTCTCAAGGGCCGTTTGGAATGTGGTCAAAAATCATATGGCAACAGGTTATAGTCCAACAGGTTTATTTGAAAAAACTAGCTTTCAGTCCAAAAGCTAGTGTTTTAAAATAAACCTGTTGGACTACAACCGACATCATGTGATTTTTGACCTTGTCCACCCCAGTCCAAAAGCTTGGAATGCGCAATGAATGTAGAGATGTTCACATCTCAAAAATTATTTAAGAAAAGATAAAGCTGATTAGCCTCAGATTTTAAATGTGTTTAATAGGTAAATCCAGGTGATCATAGAGTACTATTATAACTGTTCGTAAACTTTAGGAATCAAATCAACGCCTATTTCTTGGCTGGAGTTCTGAGGAAGGGTCACTAAACCCAAAATGTTAAATCTGATTTCTCTCCACAGAAGCTGCCATACCCCCTGAGCTTTTCCAGCAATTTTGGTTTTCACTGCTGCTTTTCTTGCTCTGATCTTGTATGGCATGGTGCAGGGAAAATCAGGAGTAAGTGTAATCTCTGTGTCAGAGGATTGGTGTTACTTGGACCAGAATGTACAGTATCACTTAATTCCATTTTAAAATCACATACCTTAAATCAATTTAACTTTAACCAATCACTGAGAAGCTGGTGACATTGGTCCTACAGCCTATTTTATACCCTGCCTTATCTGTCATTCCAATCAAAGGCAGAATAGTTTACTCTGATTTCAAACACATGTAATATTCCACTTGATGTCCAAGGTCAAGATTGTGGAAGCAAGGTAGAAAGTCAAAGGACTGTGAGGAATGGAGCGTGAAATAGTATGAACCTTAATGTATAATTAACCTTTCTAGAACCTGGTGTTTATCCATTTTTTGCCTATCCAGTATTTCAACTACTCCTTACTCACCACAACTTTGTAGCATCATCTCTTTTATTAAGGACAAAGGCAAATAAATCACTTCAAACATCACCCATGTCTTCTGTCCAGGTCAAAATACACAGGGGCAGTGAGAAAATTTACTCTCGAAAGCCATCAAAATACAGGCAAAAATCCAATCATGATCAATCAGAAAAATGTTTTTTTCTGTCAGTGGAACGCACAGATGACAGAGGAGGTGCTCCCCCAATCACAGGCTTTCGTTCACTAGTGCTTACAGCTGTAAGGCTCACTAGTGAAGAAAGAACAGCCTGTGATAGAAGCAGCTAAGAAGGTAAGCAGCAGTGTGAACATCTCACTGGGCTGCTGTAAACAGAGACCAGGTGTGGGAGGGACAGGGTTCCCAGTCTTAAGGCATGTTACGGATAGAGAATGGGCACAGGGAGTACAGTCTGGGAGAAGAAGGGGGCTGCAACAAGGGGGCAGGCAGAGACTGAGCTTGGGAAAGATAATGAAGGGGAGTGCAAAGGAGAATGGGATATCTGAAGGAGAAGAGGGAAGGGGTTGATGGGGCTGAAAGGAAGAGAAATGCAAGAAATGAAAGGAAGGGGATGGAAAGAGGATGAGAAGAAAGGAGTTCCAAGGAGGAAAAAGGGGTCTGTTGATGGCCAGTAAAAAGAACTGTAAACAGGGCCAAAGTTAGGGGATGTCAGTAGAAACACAAGAAGGGAAGAAAAGGGCTGCAAGGTGGGAAGAATGAGAGGAGGAGGGAGTTGTGAAGGGTGGGAGAAGATGGCTTAAACAGAAGATGAAGGCGGGAGAGGGCTGCAAATAGAAATTGTTACGAAAAGGAGTCTCTCGGGTGAGGGGCACAGAAGGGGGCTGCAAATGACAAAGAATGGATTTACACCTGTCACAAAGACTTAACTGAGCCAGGAAAACTAGAAATCAATGAACTAATAAATTTCTTGAAAATTAATGTGGAATCTCCAGCGTAAGGCTGAATATCTTCAGGAGCTACTATAGGAAAAAATGTAGTGCATTCTTTTATAATAAAATGGTGTCAATTGTTAAGCTTGAATTTGGGATTGAGAACACATTTGCAGTAAAAATCTTGCTAACAGCTTGAGTAAAATCGTTCAGACTTGTGTATTTGCAATGGAATTGCACTAACTACGAACTCACCAGTTTGTGCAAGTTGTTTTATGGGTGATAGCTGTTTTGTTTAGAGATGTATTTTAGTTCTTTGAAAACAAAACTTCTGTTGCTAACTTATTCCTGTTGTCATGTCCCAATTTAAATACTGTGGTGTCTATGAAATTAATGCTTTCTTTGCGTGTTGTGACTTTAAGTTTAATAGTGGGATGATAATTGTGGATGTTGATGAATTCTTCTCAATTTATTTCTCACTACAATAGCCCTTATGTCAATAAATAAAACAAAAGGTAATGTTATTACACGACTGCATCACCTAACAAAGGAATTAGTGATAATGATAAAACAATCCCAGAAAACCAAAAGGTGGCACCCTAAAATGAAAAAAGTAGGCCTTTAGAAAATCTCAAGAATACCCCTGAAAAGAATTATTTTGATCCCTGTTCTGGCTCCAAGAAGGAATCCTCTTTTTAATTTCTAATTGGCCTCATTCCTCCTGATATTATCTTTTTGTTACTCATATGCCTAAGGAATATTTTTGAATCCTCTTTAAAGTTAGCT